GGGAAATTTTGGTAATCTGTGATAGTGGTCCTAGCTGCAGAAAAACAAGTTTAATGTCTAACGAAATAACCTAAGTAGAGCTGAAAATATTTTCTTTTATTGATTGATCTTAGAGTTCGCCTTTATGCTGTTACTATTGAATCACTTACATTTCATTGCATAAGATTGGCCTTTTCCGGCTATGGTATGGCATTTTGCAACGTACCTAACAAAAAAGGCCTATATCATTTCTGTCATTTTTGATACACCATCCAGGATTCATTTAGTCCGCAGGGTGGTAATAGAAATGACACATTACTATAGTAAAGTACTTGGTAAGGTGATAACTTTCAAGATTCGTTTGGCTTGTAGAATGTTAGATTCTCAGTTTCAGTGCGAATTGATTGTTGATCTCTTGAATGATTCTTTTTGGTTTCAATTGATATCGCTTAAATAATAGAATAAAATTAGAAAACAACATCAGAGTCGAGGTAACTAACTAAATTCGGGTAAGCCTACTTAATTCTTGTAATACTAGGATTGTTCCTGCTTATACCCGTAGTGTCACTCAAGCCAATTTTAAGCTTAAAACCTTTCTCCGTTGCCCTAAAATGTTCTGTAAGGTGCCTTGACTTATCAGGGGAATGTCCTAGTTGTGATTCTCGGCCATGTTATTCCTTTAATCAAAGATCGTACATACGAAGTCCATATGCAGCACTGCAGTTGATAGTTTTAGCATGCGAATAAAAAGCTCAAAAATTTCAGATACTTTGCTGCTGCTGCGTTTGTGCTGTGCACGAATGTAATAGGAAAACAAGCTCTGGAAGCTCGTTTCATTACCAAAGATGGTGAGTTTTGTGTTTTTTGAATAGTATTTTTGGATCTGTTGAGTGATTAGGATTAAATTATCTCTTTAGATTTCGATGATGGTGTTGGTTACGTATACCAGATCAATGATAGCATTTATGGTTCGTTCGGTTGTGTGCTAATGAACTCTCATCTGGAGTGTATTCCACTAGAAGTAAGTATTAAAGATTGCTTAATCTGTTTTTTTCAGGACAAGTTTATGTATTTTCATTTCTTTTTTCCAGGACGTCGCCGATGCCCCACAGCACTTCGGCACTGTGTTGGGCGCTTCACTCCAACCTGGCGATGTCGCACAATCACTTATTCGTTGTCGTCAACTATGTGTTGGTGATTGGCTACTCTGGAGAGATGCTGGAGCGTACACGATGCCGCTCGATGCCGAACATGCGGTACCGCCGGTGTATTATTTTGCCGGCGTTGATAAGTGGTAAGTGTTAGTTTCTTATCCTTGAGCTTAGAGCTACCTATTGAGGTTACCCAGAGTAAAAATGATTGCCCGTATCTAGAGTGATCTACTATGTTTTGGCTCTTTTTTTTT